ATTAACAGTGCCTACCTCATGTTATAGTGAGGATTGAATCAGATGTGAGATACAAAATTCCTAGCAGATAGTACATGCTTGGTTAATGGCATCTGCTTTAGCCTCTTCATCAATCAGTACTTACTATTGTTATCAGCAGAACTACAGTGAAAGCTTTAAGATATAAAGGAGGCCAAAGTTCTATGGGAGTGAAGAGAAAAAGATTTAACTGAGGGTTCCTAGGAGGCTTTCTAGAGGTGACTGCTGAGTGGGACCTTGAAAGATAGGTGCTAGGGAAGACTTCTCAGAGGTAGAAGACCAAGAACTAGAGCTGAAAATATTCCTGCTGTTCTAACCACCCAGGCCTGTAGAAGCAAGGAGGATGTCCAAGTGTCCAAGAACTCAAGACTGGAGCCACGTTATTGTACATGACCCTGGCCTTGCTGCTAGCTCTGCAACTTGATCCTGGAGGCTGGGAAATCTCATATTTTGTTCCCAGCTTCCTGAAATGAGCAGCCTGCCATTTTCCCTTTCTTACCTTAATTTTGAGCTAAATGAAGCTGTGCTCCCTATGTCCCCTGCCCAAGTCTTCTTTCCAGAAGGTCTCATTGCTTGGCTCGGTCAGTACAACCCAGCATAATTCTAAGTGGCATATGACAAACTTTTACTATACACATAATAAAGTGTCTGAGCCTGCTCTTGTCTCCTTTAACTCTGAGCTATATTCTCAATGACAGATAGTGAGATCCACGTTAATTTTACATCAGCCAAAGGAAATTTCTTGTGCCAGCCCTTTGACACACAGAGGCGTGGTCAACCAGAAAAGGGATCCTGCCCAAGAGTCCACATCCAACCTTTCAGTGCTGACTCAAGACATCCAGGACCTTTCTGATGCAGACTTCTCTCTGTGGAGAATGAATAGTTAAAAGAAAAAGTGAATGGAAAAATCTTAGTCCTGTTACTGGCCCCTTAGCAACAGTACGAGGAGGTTGCTTAGAATCTACCCAGAGAATCCACTCATTTCACATTTTCCAGGAAGATGCCCTTATTTTCTGATTCTATTCAGCTGGGAGCCCCAGGGAATATTTAAAACTCTGGAGACAGACACAATATAAAGACAGTCATTTCTCTCTAAAACAACAATTTGTATTTTCATATCTTTGATACACAGTCTAATTCTCAAATCAATAGGCCAAGGGAGACTCACCCAGTGCAAGTTTAATAAGGAAAATAGCTAAAAAAAAAAAAAAATTAGAAAGAGAGCAATATTACCTGCAGGTGTGTTAGATAGTGGGGGTGGGGTTAAGTCTGCTTTCTTTACTCCCCAGTGTAAAGAAACAGAAGCTAAACCTCCAAGTTGATTACAATCCCACAGAAGTAGGAGCTCCTGGCTGTTTTCCATTTTCCCCTCAGCCTCCCTACCCTTGCCCCAATCAATACAGTAAGTTTTGTCTTCTCTTATGAAAACTCAACTTTCTAGCTGGTTTTGCAGTTTAGGTTGCTTCAAGTCTGGTCCAACTTGGTAGCCAGGCAAATGCACTTCCAAATCAAATGCATGGGTTTTGGGAATCCAAAATAAAGTTCTGTTACTTCATTAAAAAAGGCTGCTGGGCGTGGTGGCAAACACCTGTAATCCCAGCACTCAGGAGGCTGAGGCAGGAGGATTGTTGCAAGTTCGAGACCAGCCTGCACTAAAAAGTGAGCTCAAGGCCAGCCTAAACTGCATACTGAGACCTTACCTCAAAAAAGACAGGAAAAAAAAAAAAGTAGCCTGGTGGGCTTGAAAAGGCCCAGATGGCTTGGGCAGCAGGAAGAGGCCTGGCCTTGCAGAGGTCTTTCCTTGTCCCATGGCATGGCTTCCCCTGCCAGTGCCGCAATTCCACCAGTGTCAAGGCCAAGCTCAGAGTGTCAAGGCAATGGCCCCTGGCTCTTTTGGAAATAAGAATCGTGCCCACAAAGCCTCCAAATCAGTGTTCAGTTGGAGCAACTGCCCTTTAGGTTATATCCATTCAATAAGTATTGAGTACCTACTGTGTGCTAAGCAGCATCCTAGACCCTGGGGGTGTAGCAGTGAAGAATACAGACTAGCTCAGGAAGCTTATATTCTGGTGGGAGGAAGCAGAAAACAAATAAACAAAGAGGTAAAAGAGCCATAAGGAAAAAAAATGTAAAGGCCTGCAAGATATTGGAGTGGCATTCCTGCAAAATAAGAAGTAGTATCTGAACTGAGATTTAAATAAATGTAAGGGGCCAGCTATGTGAAGATCTGGGGGGAAATTCCGCTAGACAGAGAAACTACAAATTACAAGGCCATTGGGTAGAAACAAGTTTTGGCCAAAAGAATAAAGAAAATCTGAATGGCCAGAGTGTAGTAAGTTAGGGAAGAGTGACGTGAGGTAAAGAATTAATCAAGATTGGTATCATCCATAATTTTACACACTTTTATAAAAGATTGTGATTGGGAACAATTGCTCTGGTTTACGCTTTGCAAAGAGCTTCCTGTCTGGCAACTGTGTGGGTAACAGACTACTCGGGGTGGGTGCTGTGGAAGAGTAGAAACCAAGGAAACCATTGAGAGCTAAGTGCTATAGTCTGGGCAAGGGACGATGGGTAGGTGGTAGCAGACAGAGTGCACAGATGTGAGGGATGTTCTGCAGATAGAGTTAATGGGACTGGATGATGCACTGGGTAAGGGAGAAACACAAAGACAGAATTCAAAGATGGCCCTTAGGTTTGGACTTGAGCAGCTGGTAGCATCCCTCACTCAGCCCTGAGATGAGGAAGACAGGAGAGAAACCAAGAGCCTTGTCTTAGAGGTTTAATGTTCAAGACCCCTGTTTGATACCCACCAGAGGTGTCTGGAGGGCATTTGGATCTAGCAGTCAAGAGCTCAGGAGTAGGCACTGGCCTTCTGGCCACCAGCTCAGGATTCTACTCTTTGGTTGCACTGCTCACAGACTCAGCACATGTTCACTTAGGGGCTGCTGGGTTCTGGGGCCTTGGTTCAGGACTGACTCTGTTACCATGCAGTGAATCGGGACTGAGGGTGACCTGACTGGAGGTCAAAACACTCAGCCTCTGGTCTTCAGTATATCAGTGGAACCTGGCACCACCTTGATTCACGAACATCAGTGCTCTGCTGACTTCTTCCCAGGGCTCCCACTTTGTGTCCTAGAAACTCACTTGGGAGAGACTCAGGTTTTCTCCAAGTGTTGCCTGGATCAGACCTGAGTACCTCTAGGGAAGTGGCACTCACCGTCTGTGCTCTTTACGAGTTCAGGTAGGTCTCTGGAAGTGGGGCTCTGGAGAGAAACAAGGCATGGGTCGACTGCAACGATGTGCAGCTGAGCAGTAAATATGGGACGTTAGGCAGCCAGGAACCTTTAAGAGTGCTATGGACGGTCAGCAGCACAACTTCAGGGGCCACACCTAGACATTGCTGGGTTACAGCCCCTGCTGCAGCGTTTCTGGTGTTGGGTAACAAGGGCCCAGTGTTCTCTATATTGCAGATAATTTTGCTCACGTTTCCAGGTGTCTGCAGAGATGGAGCTTGGTTTTGATTTATTATCCTCCTGAGACTGGCAGAGCCACACGCAATACCCACCAGCTTTATTTATGGGCTTTTGTCCCTGGCCAGAAAGAAAACAGTGACATCCTTCCTCCTCCCTGGATGGAGAGAGAAGTGTCAAGCCCTGGTCAGTCGCCCATCTTGGCTTCCCAGGAGGCCGCCTGGCCTGTCTTCTGCCCACCAGCCTGCTGTTTGCAGCCACCTCAGCCCCACAGCCCAGCCCGGCCTGCTGTCACATCTCAGCTCTCCTGAGTCACCCGAGCTTTAATTTGGGCTAATCTTCGATCCTGACTCAGGTAGGTGTGGTGGTGATAAATCAAAATGAGGACACAAGCTGTCAGTAATAAAGCAGGAGAGACTTGTCAGTCTAATCAACTTTATTAGCCTCGAGTCCCAGGCAAGTCTCCAGCAGCTTCCCCACTTCCTCGATGCCTCCCTTTAGTCTCAATGAAGTTGCCAGCAAAGCAGATGCAGCCTCACTGGAGCTAAATTAGCAGTGAGGAGGTGGCGTGGGGTGGCTGTGGGGCCCCCCCAGGGTGCAGCCACAGTGCTGTATGGTGGCGCTGCTGGGAGGGAAGCAGCTCATGGTTCTCCCAAGCCAGATTCCAAGGGGCTTAGCTGTGTGTGAATGGCAGAGGCCATGCAGTTTAGAGACACAGTATATGGCTTCTAGAATCATGGAGCCAGAAGGAATGGCAAGACTCCATCTAAGCCAACCCTGTGCTCTGGGGCAGGAAGATTTTTCACAACCCCTCCCCAGATGTGTGAGAGAGAGGGAGGCTTTTTTTTTTTTTTTTTTTGTCTTTTCTTCCGGTACCAGGAATCGAACTCGCAACCTTGCGCTTGCTAGGCAGGCACTTTGCCACTGAGCTAAATCCCCAGCCCCTGAGAGGGAGGCTTTGATTCTTGGATTCCTGGTGACTTTGAAGTTTTTGGTTCTAGACTTTGCTGAGACCTGGCCGTGCTACCTGCCCTGGGGTCTCTGACCTGTGTTCTCACAAGGTATCTTTCCTTTTCAGTTGGAGTAGCTCGAGTAGATTTATCTCCTGCAACCAAAGCAATCTTGCTTTAAAGACGTATGTGGAAATATGTCATTTTACATTAAGCGCACACTGATTAAGTCTCCAATCTGGCTTTTCTTTGAACCCCAGAGCTGTACATGCAGCTGCCTGGCAGGGCCCTCAGTTCAACAGCAATCAAACATACTGTGAACATTCAAGCATTTCAGATGGAGCTGAGGTCTGCTCTGCCCAATCACAGCCCCATTCCCAGCCCCTTCCTGGGAGATACTTAACATTAGCAATTAGCTAGACAAGGCTAGACCTTTTAAAGTTAATTAGCCTGTGTACACACCCATATAGATAGAAATATGCAGATATCCCTCTTTCCACATCAGAACATTTTCCTGTCTTTTTAACTGCTATATAGTATTCAACAGGCCAGCTAGACCATCCATGTGTCCAGATATTTTTATCAAACAGGCAAAAGTACTGTTATTTGATATTTGAACCACATCTGTTAAAATTACTGTTTCTTTCCCCTGCAGTGTGCTTCTGTCAGGCAGCATTGAACAGTTGTGGGCATCTGGGGACCTGGCTATGAAGCATCTGTGCTGCAGTCATGTCCAGTAAGATAGAGTGGGTTATAGTTGATGCTGTGTAGAGTAAAGCCACAGCCAGCTATTCTGGGGTAGGAATGGCTTCCAAAAACACACTTGCCAGGTCACTTTGTGTCATGACACTGCGATCCATGCCCAGATGTCCCACCCTGAGGACTCTGCCCAACAGTGCCCAACACCAGGAAGAGGAAGTGTGGGAAATAAGAAGTGCTGCGGGGAGGGGTGGCTCTTTTCTCAGCCCACACAGTGGGACACAAGGAATTGGTTTTCCCTGACACCTCATCCAGATGGAGTCTTCCTTCTGTGAGTGCGTCTTCCTGTGTCTCTGCAGGAAAGTGACCCTACATAATCATGGCCTGGTAAGAGGCCACCAAAGAGAATGAAGCCAAGACCTGCAGAGAATAGAAAAGTACTTTAAAGATGTGTCCACGGTTCAAAACAAGAATAGGTTCATTGTTACTTTTTCTGAATTTTCTGATATTTGTCAGTTATTATAATTTGTTTATTTTTTTATCTTAAAACAATATTCACCTTTACAATAATTTTGTGTTCTTTTTTCTGAAGGAGAACTCCAGACATTCAAGCTCCCCATAGAGCCCACATCCATGTGATGGTAGGTGTATGGAAATAGGGACTCGGGGTGCTGTCCTGGGATGGGAGGTCAGTTCTGGACAAAAGCAAACAAACAGCCAATCAATTCATCAAGTCCCTGGTTTGCATAGACAAAGCAGGTGTTCTCCCTTCCTCCAACCCCGACATCCTCATTCCCCAGCCCTGACTGTGGGCTGAAGGCCAAATCATTTCCTGTGATTTCTCTGTTTATCAGCTCTCTATTATCATGATGGCAAGAGCCGCCCACTCAATAAAGCAAAGCAAACTCCTGCAAACACACACACAGCTCTGAGCATGTAGGTCCCGGATTTATTTTCTAATTAACAAGTCATTCTCAACCAATGTGATGATTTGCTTGACATCCCATTTGGATTTGTGGGCAAACAAATCATCCCTGGGCCTCGGGCCATAGCTCCATGGAGGGTGGAAGACTTGGGAGGTCCCTGCGCGGCCATTGGTCATTACTGTGGCTTCTTGTTCCTCTCCCCCTGCTCTTTTCCATCTGTCTGCAAGGCTGTCTGACTTTAGGTAACCAGGCTGAGCCCTGGGGAAGCCCCCTCCCTGCAGCCTCACAGTTCTGTCCCATCCTCCCATTCCGTCAGTGCCAAGCTCGCACCAGGGAGGAGGCCCCATGGCAAGGGCCATTAGAATCTTCTCATAACAAGTGGACTGGGGAACCTGGTTGCCTTTTTCAGATCCTCCTTAGAGCCTGCTGAAAAAGGAAGCTCAGGGATGCCAACGAGAGAAGGAAAGGTACCCAGAAGGCACATGAATCCCCCCTCTCCAAATTATCTGCTGCCACCAGCTGTGCATCTTTGTGCACAGCTGTGCATCACACCCCACTCTGAGGCCTTGGACCCCCATCCATGATAGAAAGCCATTGGAGTAGCTTGAGGTCCCCTAAAGGTGGATCTCATACCAAGCCTGGGCAGCAGATGTGTTCTAAGTGTTCTACACAATATGTTGTCATGTTTTGTTTTAATATTTGGACCAGTTGCCTATACTATGAAGATTGGGAGTCATCATTTTATAAATATAAAAATTCAGGAGTTCTAGCATCATTGGATCCAACTTCCCTAAAGCCAACAATGAGATACGCCCAGGTACAACTGCAGAAGGGAGCTGCTGCCCTCAAGAGATAAGCCATATGCCCTCCAGTTCCTGCAGTCTCCCCCAACCCCTATCATATTCTGCCAGCCTGCTCTGCCTATGTAAGTTATTTGTGTGGCCCCTGAAGGTCTATAAGTTTGGGATGATGGCCTTTTTTAATATTCTGTTACTTTAATTCTGCATTTTATTCTGCTGCATATTATTAGCTCATTCCCAGGTGTTTATTGAGTGGCTTTTGTGTTCTTGGACCTTTGCTAAGCATTGAAGAATGTATAAATAGAGTATAAGAAACATGGTCCTTGGACTGGGGATGTGGCACAGTGGTAGAGCGCTTGCCTTGCATGCTGAAGGTCCTGGGTTTGAGTCTTAGCATCGCAGACAAAACAAACTCAGGGTTTAGCTGCCTAGATGACAATTTATGGCATTGGAAGAAGCCTTTCTACCCAGAATGGGGGAGAAGACCATTTTAAACTATTCCTCCTGCTTGTCCCTGTGTAACCCTATGACTAACATTTACATGGCATCTGACAGTTGTCAGGACATTTTCCTATCTATTAAGTCTTCGAGTTCTTACCACAACCTGGAGAGGTGGATGTTATTCCCAGATGCTCACAGATGTCAAATGACTTGTTCTTTTCTAGGTTTTTTTTTCCTGATACTGGGGGTTGAACCAAGGGCCTTCACACCGAGCCACATCCCCAACCTGTATTTTATTTTTTTACTTGAATACAGGGTCTCACTAAATTTCTATGTTGCCTGGGCTGAGCTCTATTGTGCCATCTTTCTGCCTCAGCCTCCCAGAATGCTGAGATTACAGGCATGCCCATTACCCCTGGCTCAGGTTTCATTTTTAAAACACAGCACAGATTCAACTAGACATAATTTAAACACCTAACATCTGCTATTCTGAATGCTTAAAAAGCTGTGCCTACCACAGTTCTAACCCTGGGCACTATCTTTGTGCCTCAGAAAACAAGATTGGTCCACAGCCTAAAGGATGCTGGAGGGGTGACTGAGTCCAAGATAGAGCAAAGATCCCCAGCTGTCTGCACAGCGCTTGTCTCTTCGCCATTTTCTCCCCCATTTGCTCGTGTCACCAACCAGCACTGTGAAGAGCAGCAGCATTCCAGTCTTCTTGGCTCCCTGTGCCATCCCGTTTCACATTTGTTCTTGCATTAGTTAGGAGTTTCTGGGCCCCTGATGCCCCTTGTGCCCTCACCCACCAGAACTGGCCTGGATCCGTCTCCTCCCAGCTTATCTGTGTAATAATATCTTCTGAAGGTGTAGATTAGCTGGAGTGATTTCTGTCACTGGTACAGAGGTCAGCCCTCCCTGATTGTTTATATGTATAAGCACAATTACCTTCCATTTGTTTTGTACTTTGGACTGTCCAAAGAATAAGTATCCGGAGTCATTTTGAATGATAGCTTTCTGGTTGCAAAGAAACAATCAAACTGATCTTAACAACATGTAGAAGATGTGGGGCTGGTGTCTCTACATCTAAAAGTCCCTCCCCTTTGAGGACAAGACCCTGCTCTAGACTCCACAGCAAGGGTCATGTGTCTGTCCAGCCCTCGGTGACTGTGCTACAAAGCCTGGGAGCATGGTGGTGATTGATGAGCCTCTGACAGGCTGCCAAGGACACCGCAAGCTGCTCCCATCTTCGTGGGCAGGTAGGACACTCTTTTTGTAACAAGCTTCTCTGGCTAAAAGTCATAAATCTCCTCTGATTTAAGTGACAGGTTGTTGGGATTGTTTCCTTTGGCTTTGGCACAAAGAGGAAATGTAAATCCAACATAATCTGTAGTGTGAGGAATACATCAGATCTGAAGGCTAGGGTTTTTCAGGCTGGGAAGGACTAGAAGACAGCCAGCTAGGGGCTCAAAGTTACTCAGCAGACAGATAGAATAGTGAAGCTACAGTGCAGGCCCTCAGACTCCGTGTCATGTGTCATCATCACCCATTGGGCCACCCCCTTTTTCACATCTCTGTGCATGCTCCCCACTGCATTCAGGTGCCTCGGATCCCATGTCACTGGCACCATCTGTGACCCCACTGAGCTGCCTCCATCAACAACCCAGACACCAGATCTCTTCTGTTCCCCTTTCCTTGCCCCAACCAATTGGTCTCTTCTGAGAGACATGATGACTCAGTGCCAGATGCTTGTGGCTCTACCAACCTTGCAGCCTTTGCTTCTACAGAGAGCTACGGTTTTCCAAACCCTTTTTCACCTGCCACATGTGTGGGCCTGGAATTGGCTGGACTGAGGTATCATCAAAGAGATGGATTGAAATAAGGCAAAGCAGGGAGGTTTCACTATGCCAGAGACTGGAAAGGACAACAGAGGATGCCGCTGTCAAAGAAGACACAAAGTCCCAGCTATTACCCAATGCGTGACCCCGATAGATAGGCATTCAGTGTATTCTTGTTAGATGAGTAGCAAATGGATGAGTGAATGAGTGAGTAGATGAATAAATGGAGATCTGAGTGTAAAACATCGAGAGGAAAGTGGACAAGACTGCCAAGTCCAGGGAGCACTAGCGTGGGAGCAGGGAGCACTGAAGAGGGGCCGTGTGGGAAATCATGACCAAGGGTAAGAGATGGCACTGAGGCTGCCCAGCATCCATGCTGCTTCCCTCTGGCAACAGACCTTGGTTTACCGTGGGACAAACAACCCTCCTCCTCTTTGCACGTAGACCAGGTCAGAATGCAAATGAGGGGCTTCTGCCAAAGGCCCTGTATACCCATGCTGGTAAGCGATGCACGCCACTGTAGGGTGTTAGATGCCCCTGCTTCCTCACCCAGCAGAACTGGTCTGACTTTGCCCCCACCAACCTCATTGTCAAACTCTTCCTACAAGCAGTCTCATACCCTTATAATAATGTCCTTTAAAACCTAGATTACTGGTGGTACATGCTTATAATCCCAGCTACTGTGGAGGTTGAGGGAGGAAGATCACAAGTTCAAGGCCAGCCTGAACAACTTAATCAGATCTTGTTGCCTCAAAATAAAGTTTAGATCTGCCAGAGTGATTTCTGTCACTGGTAACTAGATATTCCTGAGCAGCACAAGATCACAGGTCCAGAAGATTGGCAGTTATAGAGTCTTAGTTTCCTACACAGTGCCCAAGACATTGTGGCTTGCTGGATGGTCCCTGGAGGCTCGGTTGGTAGTGACTTTGAGACTGGGAGACTCTGGAGTCCAGAAGAACTCTTCCTGGGTATTGCTCATAAATGCTGAGCCAGCTGGGTGGGTAAGAACAGTTAGAGAATCTCCCTCCTAGATGCGTGTGTCTCCAGTCCTGCTGCGGCTCAGCTCTTCTGAAAGGAGGCCTAGGACACCCAGGTGGCAGTACTGATGGGACATAAATTACTTCAGTACAGCAAGCACAATTAGAAATTTTCCTTTTGCTTCTATCAAAGACTGACAGCCCAGCCAGCAGGGCATGTGGGTTGATATAAGAAGCTGGTTGGCAGATTTCTCTAGGAAATTCTCTCTCCAGCTCTCCCTCTATCAAGAAGAATCCTCCCACACCTTTGTCACACAGCCTTTCTAAAGAGCATCATTGCTTCCTCGGCCCGGTCCAGGCAGCTCTGAAGTCTCATTTGAGAGAGTGAGAAAGACTGAGACAGACAGACAGAGAAAGGGGGAAGCCGGGAAAACGGAGAGAGGCCAGTGATGGGAGGAGTGAGGCTGAGCTTCACACCAGGTCCTTTCCCACCTGATAGGCTGGGCAGGGGGTGCTGGGACGTCATTCGGTCAGACGTGGAAGAGCAACTGCTTCACCTAATGAGCTGAAGTCATTAGCTGAGCCCGAAAATCACGAACTGCTCTCATCGGTCTTTGGCCAGAGTCGTGTCCCAGCTCCTCACAGAGGTTACCTTGGATTTGTGTTACAGGACAGGACAGAGTAGACAAAGCTGCCAGCCCTACTCCAGGACCAAGACAGACAAATGTCTGGAGTTTTACTATCCCTTCCCAGTCCCTGGTGTCCCTCACGAGGTGCTGGCACACCTGCTGGGCTCTCTCACGACCACCTCTGTCTCCCCTTGGTTTTGTGCCCCTCGTGCCTGTCCTTGTTTCTGTCTGGCCCTTTGTCTCACATCCCCCCTCTTCTCCTGACTCTCACTCTCAATAGCTCACATTCACAGTCCTCACAAGAGAGGATGTAATAGGTTGACCACGTACCATGTGGCCTAGGAAGGCTTTGTTGACAGAGCTTGCACACCAAGCTATTCTCTGGTTCCCTGCCCCACCTGGGATCAGGTGCTCCCTGCCCACCCTGATCCCACCAGTTGTGGCCAATGGCAGGAACAGGTGGTACAGAGGACTGAAGAAACCCTCAGGTGGAGGTGAAGTCAGCTGTGGGGGGGGTATAACTGGGGGACAGTTTGCTGCACCTTTTGTCACACCCCTTGGTGTACCTTGACATCTCTCAAGGACACCAGAGACCCAGTAGAGCAACTAGTGACCACTTAACGAATGTGAATTGGAGACCCAAGGAGGTGCCCTGCTCTGCTGGGCACCTGAGCAGATGAGAAGACTGGCTGAACAAAATCACTCTGATCCACAGGGCATTTGCATTCCGTAGGTCGGGGAGGGGAGCGTCCTGGCTGCAGTATCTGCTCTCAGTAGCTGGGAGATACAAAAAGCTATTGAGCACACCTCTGGGGCCTCCTGAACCTCTGGACTCTGGGTCCTCATTTCTACTGTGGGACAATGATGGGCCACACACGGTGACACAATGAGAGTCAGGAGCACGCAGGGTCCTGCGCAGAGTCTACCACAACAAAGATGTCTCGCAATCGCCCTTCTAAAAATGACTTTTAGTCATATTAAGATGATTTTTAGGACTTGAGATATTTATTAAGATGGGAAATACCACTATGAGCCAGTGCTGTGCTCAGGAACTGACTGACTGCCAAGAGAGCAAACCTCACCTTGCGTTCCATCCTTCCCTGTGTGTTCACACCAACCGATCCCCAGGTGAGGAACCCAGGAAAGAGGTTACAGCACACACTGAAATGAGAATTAGGAGCCTTCCATGTTTAACTGTTGCAAACACTTTCTTACTTCTGAGTCACCCCAAGCAAAGGTGACCAACCCCTACGGGAGGATTTCCCACTGCAGTGGTGACAGTGTTGCCCTGGAAAAGAAGCAGTGTGAGCTATAGAAAAGGCACAACCTGGAGGCCAGGGCTGCCTCCTGTTGGGACAAGAGTACTCTGTCCCCATTGGTACCTGGCAGAAGATGACAGTCACTGGTAGTGCGGATGGGAGCAGGGGTCCAAGCAGCAGAAGAGCTTTCAGAAGCTGCCACATTACAGACATGGACGTGACTTGTCTGCCTCTTGCTCAACAGAATGAGAGCCCCTACTCCCTTCAGGAAGCCTAGTTAGTCCCTTTCTCTTTCTTCTTTCCTTTTTCTTATTTTTCTTTGAGTACTTTCGTAGAACCCAGGGGCACTCTACTACTGAGATATATGCCCAGCCATTTTTCTTGTTTATTTTGAGACAGGGTCTCACTAACTGTCCTGGCAGGTGTTCAACTTGGTGATCCTCCTACTTCAGCCGCCCTCAGTACTGGGATTACAGACATGTCCATCCTACCTGACTTCTTCTTTACTTAAGTCAGGTTCTCTTCCACTTTCCTGTCCTTTCATACCCTCTAGTTTGTACTTAGGTTGACTGGTCTGCAGAAGAATCTCACAGATTCTAAGAGTGGGAGCTCCTTTGTGTGCATAAGGAAAGCCTGAGGCCCAGAGCAGGGAAGAAACGTGAGGTTATGCAATAATTAGTGACAGACACGGAGAAAGCAGGGTCTCCAGCTTGGTTCCCAGTCCCAGATTCACCCCAGGTGAATCCCACATACTCTCTACTTGCCCAGTGTTGTTCAGCAAAGGGGCTGTGTCCCTTAGCACTGGTTGCACACGCTCCCTTGATGCAGGACTTCCAGGTGCCTTCGGTATACTAAGGTAGGAAATTTCCATGGACTGGGCCAGAAGGGGGTGTTCAGACATGCAGCGTTTTCCAAACTTGTTTGACTTTTCTCTTTCCAAGGGCTTCCTTGCAGGTGAATGTCTGGCAGAACGCGTGCTGGGGACCACTATGCAACATGATGCCATCTCATGACCCATCATCGCTGCTTCCTGCCTGCTCAGGAGGGGCTCAGGTTCCTCACACCAGCCAACTGGGCCTGTGCCTGAAAACATGAGCCTCTAGAAGAAACGCCACAGGATACAGCAAATTCAAGCTAACCAAATATTCTTTCTTTCACCTTCTCTTGGTTCCAAAACTCTACATTTAATGAAATATTGCAGGATGAAAAGGGGTGGGAGAAGAGATGTCTGCCCTGATCCCGAGACTCTCCCTGTCACACTGCAGCCCAGAACAAATTAAACCAGGGGCTCTTGGACAGAGGCTCTGTAATGAGGAGCTGAGAGCCGCAAATGACGGGTTCCGGGCTCTGCCTGGGCCAGTGATAATAAAACAGCACAAGTAGATGTGGAAGCTTCGGAACAAAAATACCTTGTAGCTATTATCTTCATGAGTCTCTGCCCTTCCACGCAACGCCTCCCTGCATTCTTTTAATCTGCAGCTACTGAGAATCGGTACTTTCTCACCTTTGTAATATGAGAAACAAGTTAATTAAAATCAATCCCGACTCCAGTCTCAGAACGTCCCTGCTTTGGCTCCAGATCTGTCAACAGTGAGTTTTGATATCAGCATGTGCATGAAGGTGCTTACTCAGAGATGCTGATAATTGCATTAATTTAGGAGACATTAGCTAAGCCCAGCGATTAATTATACAGACAGCAGGCAGAGATGTTGCTACCAGATTGCCAGAAGAAAAAAGTAGAAATTCCAGCTCCTTTTATCCAGATCCAAACTCCCAGGACACTCAGAGAAGCAGAACTGTCTTCATTGTTCAGGGGTGTTTATCAGGATGATCACAATGAACAGCGGAAACCTTAAAACAGAGGGCAGAGAGCTATATGTACGATGTGCACTTATGGGAGCTTTACTGGACTCTAGCTCTTTGAAAGCTGGTCGTTTATTAGGCATTGTGACATATCTCACAGAATCAGAAATTGTAGTTAGTTAGTCTGTGTCCAATTTCCTCATTCATTAACTATTCAAAATTAAATAGAAATTCTCTATCTCCCCCTACTTTTCACAATAGACACGTGGAGAACTTAGTACATATGCCCATACCTTCCCAGTCAATGTCAAGACCACATGTAAGTAAAACAGTTAACTAGATTTTAAAAAGGAAAACAGATGAAGACTTAGCTTGATTTTTCAAAAACTTTAATACAGAAAAGGCAGAAGACCATCCAGGGAGGTGGCAGGGCTGTTTCTGTTTCTCCTGTGGCAGCTCTGTGTATTACACAGCCCAACTCCAGGGCTTTGCTTTTCCTTGAAGAGTTTCACAAGTGCCTGGCGGAAATGGCAGCATTTGGGACTGGGGTCCAATTTTAGATTTTTATCTCATCCATAAATAAATTGGGAGTTAAGACTGGGGTGTAATCAAAAGGGGCCCAAAATGACCGTTAACTCAGGTCTTTAGACCAGAAACCAAAGCACAGAGAAATGAGTAACTGGGGCAGCATTCACAGCTGCCTGACTCCAAAGCCCAGGTTCCTGGCCACTGCGCTACCACCCCTGAGCAGAGACACTGCCCAGCTTTTATGGTCCTCTTTTACCATGAAGCCACAGAGGTCCCTTAGGGACCATTTGCTCAAACTGCATACTCCTTTGAGTCCAGGCTGACTAGGTTATACAAATGAAGCAATCTTTACTTTTGTTACTCAAAATATATATAAAATCTTTGTAAAAGATGCAAGTCCAAAATATGCCAGAAAACTCCTTAACTATCCTCTACTCCCTCTCTAAGCACTGTTATCAGTTTTGTTTGTACATTCATCTGATCATCTCTGTGCAAATATACATAAATCAGAGTTTTATTCTGTGTCAGGAGCACACAATGTTTTCTAAGATGCTTCTATGTTTAATAATATGCCCTAGGAATTGTTCCATGGTGGTACATGCAGAACTACTTTCTTCTTTATTAGTATATAGCATTCCAATTTTGCTTCTGCCAAATCAACTTGTAAATGACTGCCAGTACTAACCATGGGCTTCCAGAACTGTGAGACAATAGATTTCTATTGTTTAAACCAATCAGCTTGTGGTAGTTTAATACAGCAACTTTAACAAACTAATACTAATTTATACACATTTCAGTGTGTAAGAATAGTGTAGGCACCATATCCTTTGCTCACCAGCCAGCAGATGGAGTCTGGGTTGTCACCTTTGTGATCCCATTTAGCACCAGAACTGAGTCTATCCTGATTGTACTCCTACCTGATGGATTTCCTTACCAAATAATATCATAACCTGCTAAAGATGACATGGTGAAAAATGCCCCATGATAAGATGGTGTTTGCCCTCTTGTGGGCCAAACATTAGTAGAAGTTGATGTGTACGGCAAATGATGGTGAAATAAAAGGCAGGTGAGGCTGCAGAACTAATCATCAAGTTGTGATTAGCTTTGTTTTCTGCCAAACTATTAGTCAGAGGAGCATCGTGCTAAGCAGCATCCTGTGGTTGCAAGTGGCCGAGATCTACTCACATTGGCTCAAGCAGAGGATATGTGGTCATTGTCATTTGGTCTCTTTTACCATCCACGCTCAGCCCTGCTTTCTTCTGTGTCAACTCTATTCAGGCAGACTCTTCTATGGTGGGAGGAAGCTTGCTGAGACTTGGTTTATATTCTCCTCCAAGTAACCCCAATGAAAATCAGTTTTTTCCTCAAAATAACCCAGTAATTATCTAGGGTAGCATCTCACTGAGTTAACATGGATCATGTGCCCAGTTCAGATCAATCACTATGACCAAAGTGATGAGATATGCCTACTGACCAGACCTGGAACACGTGACACAAGACAGCCCCAGACTTGGGGAAGTAGGGCCAGCCCCATGTAGACTACCTGGGCTGAGAGTGGGAGAGGGTGTCAGGGTATCAGATGCTCATAAATACCATTCCTTCTTTACTATGTCTGAACTCTGAACAATTGGGAGAGAGACACAGGCAAATGGAGTGAAAACACCACAATTAGTGTCAGTAAGCTAGGCTTGGGGAACACAGCTTCACTACCCAGCAGCAATGAGCTTCTAAGAACTAAACCAGAAATCAACAGTTTATCAAGGGGTGAAGTGGATAACTGCCAGTCTCCCCCTGGGAGCCCAGACCCTCGAAATCACAGTGCGGATAAGGGAATATGTATTCCCCAGTGGAAGAGTGGGACAAGAAGGCTGAGCAGATCTTGCCCCATCCTTCCCTCAAATACACCAACAGATAAGATGGTATCTCTTCCTGGTGAGGAATGAAAGACAAGGTAGAGGCCAGAACCTGTCCCTTCCCAGAAACCTCTGCACTCAGAAACCAGAAAAGTAGGACAAAGCCTGCCCCTTACCCTGTAGCAGAGAGGAGCTCCCCAGCAGAAAATCAAGGTGCTGCTACAAAGGAAGAGATGAAAATGGCCGCCATATAGCCCAACATAAAAGATGAAATATCCCCATCCATTTTCTTCCCCAAGGATGCCAAATCATCAATAGTAAAACCAAGGAGTATACTTGATATGTTTACGTAGATAAGTGGGGTTACATATTCCACTCTAGCTTGGAGATGGTCAAGATTTAAGATTTTATAAAATCCTCTTTGAAGAAAAATCAAAAGGTAAAGCAAAATCAGTCACCAGTGTGATCTGGGGGCCAGTTCCAAAACCCACAAGTGGATCATAGGGTCAAAAGAACTGGGCTCCAACACAGCTCAGCCTCCATCTGCAGGTGCACTTAGACAAAGAGTTTCATCCTCCCGAACTTCCATTCCCTCCACAGTGGACATTCCAAGCTAGTTGGCTGACCTCAGAGTCTTGTGGAGGTCAAACGGAACAAGAAGGGAAACACTTCTGGTAATAACAATGGTTAACATTTTAAGCAGCTACAATGTGCCTGGCCCTGTTTTAAGAGCTTCAAGTAATCGAACTGCTCTAATTTTAAGACAGTCTTACAAAGTAGGTTCTCTTAGTGTAATCCCCATCTCCCAGATGAGGAGACAAAGTTACAGAAGGGTGGAGAAGATTTCCCAAGGTTTGACAGACTACAAAGGACCCTGCAGCTACAGTCACAGATGAGGCTGTCATTGCTCATGTCAGGCAGAACTCAGAGGAGTGGCCCGAAAGAAGGGCAATCACACAGGGAAGGGAGATGGCCTTGCTGGCTCTGCACCTCTTCACAGAGGAGAGACTTTTGAGCAAGAGAATCTGGAGGTTCAGCCTGGGTGCTCGGGTGCATGGGCCAGGGCAGGGTGCAGAGACTTGGGTGAGGGCTCTGTCTGTGTGTGGCCCAAGCGTGAGAGGAGCAGCAGGAGGGCTCAGATCATCATAGTGTGATGGGAGCATCAGTCCCCAGCATGGGTACTTCCTAGCCCACTTTCACACGCTAACCCTCACCTGACACCTCCCCTTCTTCAGGTAAAGGAATGAGGGGAGACTAAAGTAAGGTCCCCTTGCTGAGGCCTGGTAGGAGGTGAGCTATATATCACTCCAGATTGGCCTCAGGCTGGTGACTGTCAGCCCTATCGGAGACCACAATCACTTTCATTTTACCTGGCTTTTCTTTAAACCAAACAGAACTCTGAGTTTCTTCAGCAGATTTAAGGTAAGGCTGCAACAATTTTTCTACTGAAGCCTGTGCTTTCTAGAGAGAAGGAAGCACAATCTTTGCCAAAGCCTTCCCATTCCCCAAAGACAGAAGGATATAGATGTTCCCTCTGGCGAGGAGAGAGTGAGAAGAAATCACTTTTTAGCACCTGTCCAAATTGTGGTAGACTGTATTAGATGATTTAACTTTGTATTTTAGCCTACGTTTGATTTTGCTCTAAGATTTATAGTAAAGCTGTAAAAAGATGAGTCACAGAATTTCCTTTGCCCAAATAAGGATGGAAAATGGCTGCCGCACACGGCCATACCTTCCTTCCCATGTCAGAGGTAGATGTGGCTAATCGATAGTGAGACTTTCCTTTGGACCCCAGATGTGGCCTCAGAGGCATCAGTGCCATCCTCCAGGCTGCCTAAGCCCACAGGTGAGATGAAAAACATTTTCTATTCCTTCCAATCAGCAGGAGAACCTGAGAAGGATGAGAAACAACTGAGGAGATAGACATAACACCAGGTGACTGGGAGAAAAAACACAGAGAGGAAGGGAGCCGAGAGCTTTGCCACATAGATGGTTCCTGAAGACGAGTGATAGAAAACAGGCACGGAGAATGTAAGAGAGCTGTTGATAAGCTGTAACTCTGGTAACCAAAAAGAGAGTGTTAATATGATACTTAGCACATGGACTCTTGGAGAGCTGAAAACAAGCTGTGTGGATGGAGTTGTTAAGGGGCTGGAGACAGCCAGAAGATATTTGTAGGATAAACACAGCAAATGCTTAACCCTGAACTGAATGACTATAGAAACAGATGTGCATACACACAAACGCATCCTTTCTGATTATAGTTGACATCTGAGTGTCTCTCATTGTCAGGCATCATGCAGAGTGTTTTTTCATTCACTATAATATAGAGGTTACTGTTATCCCATTTTATATACACAGCAACTGAGGCTCACGCAGGTTAAAAAGACTTATCCAGATCAAACAACAAGAATAGTGGAATTAAGATTGGACCTTAAGGGGCTGGGAATTTAGGTCAGTGGCAAAGCACCTGCCTGGCAAGTGCAAGGTCATGAGTTCCATTCCTGGTACTGGAAGAAAAAAAAAGATTGGACTTTAAGTAGTAGTACCCTAGTGCCTCCCCAAAGAATCATTACAGAATTAGGACCTGCAAAGGATAAGAGAAAATCTAGCCCAAGGTTTTCCATGCCTGGGGAAATTATTTTTTTTTCTCCAATTTCACATATT